TGGCTAATGTGAACTCAGGTGCATTTAAATCGTTCTTGTTGTCCTGATTTGCCATTACCATGAATTATTGAATTCACTGAACAAACCTGATGCCCTATGCAGGCATTCCTAAGGTAGCAGATAAACTAAGGTTCGAGTCCCACCTCGATGAGGTTTCTAATGAGGAGAGGGTTGTTCTATGTTTGTGGACCACGGAGAGAGAAAATGCAGACAGCATCATCTCATCCCATCTTCTGTGTACCTCGTTTCCTTCTGGAAGAGGGACAGGGCATGTTCCCCAGAAAGCCAGGCAACAACTTGTCTCTTAAGAAGTAGCTAGAAATGAAAGCGACTTTCGTGGTTTTCTGATGGCTTCATTTCCATAATTGTTTCCACATTCCGACTTGCCTGGTTATCGGTTTTTGTTTTTCTTCAGAGAAACGCGTTGGGGAACGTCTAAATGAGAGCTTTGCTGGGGAGGTTTTCATTTGGAGTCCGCATATAGACTCTCCAAACCACCATTTTATGAAGTCTTACATTACTGGAGTTTGAAGTTGTGATCATCTCTCCAAAGTTTAGTGTCTCCTGTGGGTCTGGGTTAGGATTCTAAATCCTCTAACCCTTTGGTATAAAAACAAATGGCAACTGAGATGTCGCAGAAATAAGAGTTAGCATTTGTCGATGTGACCGTATCACTTCCCACGTACTGTAAAAATGGAACACATGTTTTTTTAAGTGTCTTTTTCCCTCCATCCCAAGCCCATTTTAAAAGAGGAAGGGACTAAAGACTGTTCAGAATGTCTGTTTTATACCGTGGGGCAGTCTCTGAATGTGAATTCATCAAATCGCCTCTTTTTCGGTAACATGTCCATTACCATATGGCTTAACTGGGATTCGCAGTTCTTCCTGGTGTTGCACTTGGCTAAGGGAGGAAGCACAGTGGAGTGTGGGCTTCTGGGAAAACTGCCCAAATAGAGACATCTGCCTTTCAGCCGTGTGACCTCCAGCAGGTGCTTGTGTTTCCTCTTCCGAAAAAATGGCTGGGCGTCATGTTGGGAGGATGAAGTGTAGCGATCCATGTAAACTGCTTAGCCTAGCGCTCGGCCCAGGGCGCACACTTAATATTAGTAATTAAATTAGACCAGAGGGCAGGTCTTAACTCACTGAGACCTTGAAGTTAATAAGTGATGGAGTTCCCTGAGTGACTGCTGTGTAAGGCAGTAAAGACGCCTAACTCAGACGTTTCAGTCTGGGGGGGGGGACATAGTGGATGACCAACGCGTTCATCTATCAAATCCACCGCTATTAGGCTGAGCATAAGAGACAGATCCCTTTACTCCACTGGAGCAGAGTGGACTGGGGTGGGAGCTGGACACCACCGATCCCATTAACGTGGAAGAAAGTCTTAGGCATCGAATGGGCTACACCCTATCTGTGCGGATGCTGAGTCATAGCCTTTACATTCCCAAGTGGTGGCAGGTTGAATTATTCAGTGCCTCGCAGAGAGCACTTTAGGCTAGGAGTGAAATGACTCATTCTCTTGTTTGAAAGGTCTGAGAGAGGTCGAGTAATGCTCAGATGTCCATTTGTTATGAACTGACGAGGATTTTGGTGATTCTTAGAGAACGTGATCATGCACGGCTAACCTGCACTGGGAGCCTCAAGGCAACTTGGAATCAAGTGCAGGAAACGGGGAGATGGTGACAGGAAGCCTTCATGATGACGGCGGTATCCAGATGCAGTCGGTTGTCTGCATAGAAAGTATTACGGTGACTTGAAGCTTTTAGGCAAAAACCACCTAATCCTTGTTCTCAGTGAAAAAACCCCAATTGAGCAGCAGAATCGATGAAGGTTGACTGAGATACAGGCCTCCCAGACTTTCTCTTTAAACACTAAGCTTATTTTTCAGAGCAATGGATGTACAACTGAAAGCAGAACGAATGCAAGATTTGTGAAATCCCATTTATAAATATCTTTAAATGTCACTAGGTAGTGGTGGCGCATACTCTAATCCCAGTACCCAAGAGGGAGAGGCAGGTGGGGTCTCTGAATTAGAGGCCAGCCTGGTCTACACTGTGAGTTCCAGAACAGCTAGAGCTACACAGAGAAATATTGTGTCATATATAGATAGATGGCTGAATGGATGGATGGATGGATGGATGGATAGGTGGGTGGGTGGATGGATGGATGGATGGATGAAATAGAAAATGGAATTTTTAAAAATGACCCATAATTAAATTATGCCTTTAAAATTAGCTGTTCAGATTTTAGAATTATGTGTTTTTGTTTGTATACATGTAATTGTTTATAATTAAAATAACTGTGAGCTATTTGTTGTCCTAACAAAACTTTGTGGCATGACCTGCTTGATAGTTGTTGTTGTTGTTTTTGTTTTGTTTGTTTTGTTTTTGCTTTAAACTAATTCCCAGTGTGAGCTTTGCCGCTCGTCCTCTCTCTCTCAGATACAGAATTTTGTGCAGCAGGAAGGGACCTACTTGGTATAAGTTCTGTTAATCATAGTTTTCCTGTTATAGCTCAACTCTTTCAAGACAAAAGGATTTCTTATTCTCATAACAGTTTCTTCTGTTAAATAAGTCAGGAATCTACAACTTAGTTTTTATGGAAGAAAGATAGAATTTGAAGATTTTTGATGTACCAATCATTGAGGAGTTATTGCCTCCCACAATAACAGATTTGACCAAATGGAACAACCAAAACTAAAAATCTAACAGCTCTTTGATAAAATAAGAAAAAACTCAACAGATTTTTACAACATCTGAATTCTTATATGCTGTATCATATTCCTAATAAATCACCCAGGAGTGATATTACACTTAAGTTAGAAAAATGTTTTGCTTAGCTATCTAGAACATATAACAAAACAGAATATGTAAATCATTTTTAATTAGTGAAAGGAAAGAGTATTACCATTGCATTATTAAAACTTCTCATGTGGCATTTTGGTCAATTCCTGTGGCTGTCATTAAAGTAACTTGGACTAGGTATATATAAACTATTTCTCACAGTTTTGGAGTTGGGAAGTCTATGTCTGGGGAGTTTCATGTCTGGGGAGGCCAGGTCTCTGCTTTAAAAATGGAGCCTTGCTTTAGTGTCCTCACATGGTAGGATGATGAACGGAATCCTAAGCGGTCTTTCATGGTGGTGGAGGCTCAGTGCTGAGAGTGGTGCTCCCTCCATGGTGGTGGAGGCTCAGTGCTGAGAGTGGTGCTCCCTCCATGGTGGTGGAGGCTCAGTGCTGAGAGTGGTGCTCCCTCCATGGTGGTGGAGGCTCAGTGCTGAGGCAGAGTGGTGCTCCCTCCACAGTGAGGTTCTGGATTTGGAGTGACACAAGCAGACGGCTCACAGCACGGCTTCCTCAGGTTGTCTTGAATCTTTATGTAATTTTAGGATTGTTGAAAGCTGAATTTTCCATTCAACTGAATTTCTAATTGATATTTTCTATTAAACCCTCCTATGGTGCTTGTAAATTTAGGAATACAAAGCACTTTCAAGCAGTTTGACAAGATCCATCAGAATCATTAAAATGCATTGGTATCCTCTATCTCATTCTGAAAACCATGGATTATTTCTATAGTTGGTCATGTATTTATAAATATTCACTGCTTATAAAGATCAAACACTGCAAAATAACTTCATGTCCAAATCTAGGGGTTGGTTAAGTAGGACACAGAACACTGTGCTAAAAAAAAAAAAAACTGTGAAAAGTATAAACTTTGCTTAATTACATCAAGTGAGCTTTTATCTGACAGTGACATTTAATTAAGAGTAAGATATCACTTATACAATTAAAATATAAATTCAGAAGCAGAGTATCTGAGATACAGTGGCTTTGTTCTACTTAAAATTGTAGTCTAGGCCAGCAGTTCCTACTCTGGTGTGGTATTAGATTTCAGAGTCTACAGGAAGCTTCACAACTTGGTTTTCCTCCTCCATTGTCCCAGTTACATATACTCCCTTCCCAAAGGTAGTCAGGGTAACACTTAGGTCTTCCGAGCCTGTGGCTCTTCAGGATGAATCTCAACTTTATTTGGTTTTTTGTTTGTTCATTTGTTGTGTTTTATGAAGAATCGCTTCCAGTCAGAAGCTAGAATCTTGGCCTTCAACTCCAGTGGATTTTGACAGAACACTTCGTAGTTTTGACCACACACAGCATAGACTGCTCTGAGGCAGAACACAAAGCACAGAGAAATTGGCACCTCAGACCTTGCCTTGTGTAGGATCTCCTATCTTTGGGGTCCAAGAAGTCTTATTTATGCTTAGAAGGTCCAGTGTTAGCCCCGCAAGCCTGATATCACAGTTTCGTGTCTCTCTTCACAAAAGTCTCAAGGGCATGCCTTCACTTAGCAAATGCATTGGGTTGGATATCTGCACACACCCTAAATGTCTACGGCATTGCCTTATCCCCTACACCTGTGGGTCAGAGAGTATCCTGGGAAAGGAACTGAGTTGAAGGGATTAGACTGGAAAATCCAGTATAAAAATCAACATTGGTGCCATTTAGAAGAGGAGACCATGAGGAAGAAGTGAAGGAGAAGACAAGGGAGGGGGACTGAGACCGAAGTTTCCATTCCTGCACTGTATGCTTAATAAGTGATTGTTAACTGTAGCCAGAAACTAAACCCCGGTGATAGAATAATCAAGATTGGAATTGCAGGGGTGGAGATCAATCTCTTGGAGAAGGCATTTGGCCACGGAAGAGAAATTCAATACCATTATCTTGGCAAGAATATGCCTGGGATACCAGCCTGCTCTTAATTACAGAACTCATAAATAAGATATTTGGCCTGGACACTACTAGCAGAAGACACTCATTAATGAATCCTGCTACACTGTTATTGTCACTGGTGAAGGGTGGGAATCATATAAGACAGCACATTCGACATACAGGTGCCTCCTGGCTCATCCATCCATTCGTTCCCTAGACAGCTGTTCAGTGACCTGTCCTGAGGCGGGCAGAGCCTCTAGATCCTGGTGTGAGTACAAGAGACACAGACTCCCTGCTGGAACTTTGAGCCATACACTGAGGTAGGAGGCCAGGAGTGAACTTTACTAAAGCAAGGGTCATCAACATTGAGACCGGTGAGACTGAAAGAAGTCACCTGGGGCAGGGGTGTCACAGTGGCAGTAGGTGGCTTAGCAAGTGAGTTCACCTGGAGTGATGTCTGTCTTCCTTTGTTCCTTTCTAGGATGCCCGGCTCTTGTCCACCATGAATGAGTGTCACTATGACAAGCGGATGGACTTCTTTTACAACAGGAGCAACACAGACACAGCGGACGAGTGGACAGGGACAAAGCTCGTAATCGTCTTGTGCGTTGGGACATTCTTCTGCCTCTTTATATTTTTTTCTAACTCCTTGGTCATCGCTGCAGTGATCAAAAACAGGAAGTTCCACTTTCCCTTCTACTACCTGCTGGCTAACTTAGCTGCCGCGGATTTCTTTGCCGGAATCGCTTATGTGTTCCTGATGTTTAACACTGGCCCAGTGTCCAAAACGTTGACTGTCAACCGCTGGTTTCTCCGCCAGGGGCTCCTGGACACAAGCCTGACCGCCTCCCTGGCCAATTTGCTGGTTATTGCTGTGGAGAGGCACATGTCCATCATGAGGATGAGAATCCACAGCAACTTGACCAAAAAGCGGGTGACACTGCTCATTCTGCTGGTGTGGGCCATCGCCATCTTCATGGGGGCGGTTCCCACGCTGGGTTGGAATTGCCTCTGCAACATCTCGGCCTGCTCTTCTCTGGCTCCCATTTACAGCAGGAGTTACCTCATTTTCTGGACTGTGTCAAACCTCCTGGCCTTCTTCATCATGGTGGTGGTATACGTGCGCATCTACATGTACGTCAAGAGGAAAACCAACGTCTTATCTCCACACACGAGTGGCTCCATCAGCCGCCGGAGGGCTCCCATGAAGCTAATGAAGACGGTGATGACTGTCTTAGGTAAGCAGACCCAAGCAAGCCAGTGTTCTCATGCATTCGGCAAAACATGGGGCAGGCAACAAATGCCTACTGTGTGCCAGGCACTCACTGTGCAGTCAGAAGGCAACAGTGAAGAGATCAGACATAAATCTCCGCCCACAGAGCTTACATTCTCATAGTGAGGAAATACATGCTCTGATGGGGGAGACAACACAGGCAGGACCTAGAAGATTAGTGTTGTGCTACAAAATGTAGCTAGCAGAAAGACTAGGTGCCGCACAAGTGTCGATTGTGATTGTCAAAGGCAACGATGGACCATGTGGCCTTGGAGTAGGAATGTAATGTGCTAATGAAGAGACAGCCTGGATCTCTGAGTCATGTCACCAGACAGAAGATGCAGAGGGAGGGAAGATATGAGGCCAGTCAGCCGTCAGATAAGGTAGCCCACTCAGGTTATGCAGGGCCATGCAACCATAAGGACTTTGGTGTTTCTGGGGGAGGTGAGAAGTGACAATCCACCGCTGCTTTGGGGAGATGCTGAAGAGAGAGAGAGCGTAGAAGCAGAAACTGCATAAGAGGGCATTCTGGGAGTTGGAGGAGTTCACAAGAGCACTGTTGGAGGTGGTAGCCAGATCCCCAGTGTGCTTTAAAGATAAGGTTGAAGGGCTCTGCCATGCTTAGGATTATAAACATAGTACTTGGGTGGCTGAGGCAGGAGGATGATAGAGTTCAAGCTTAGCCTGGGCAAAGAGTGATGCCCTTTCTTTAAAAGGTGGTGTGCATGTGAAGAAATGATAACATTTTCATTGATATGGTGAGAGAAGGAGGGGAAGGTGGAGAATGTGATTTACAGAGATGACGAAGGTGGGAGAGGAGTCACTGCGGGTCAGGGGGCGGGGCGGGGCGGGGCGGGGCGGGGCGGGGCGGCGTCAGGAATTTGGGTTCAGACAAGGTCAGGTTAAGATCCTTTCAGACATCTAGGCAGACTGCAGATCCTGAACTCAGGGGAAGAAGCCTGAATCACAAATCCATGCTTTTGTCCTGTGCTTATAGACCTTTGAGGGATTCTGCAGGGAGAAAATGGTACCGGAATCCAGCAGAAGGCATGCTCTTACGTTACGCCGGAAGTGAATGTCTCACTTTACCCCGGAAGTGAATGTTAGTGTGGTCCTGAAAGAGGACCCACGGAGGAGCACAGGTGTAAAGAGTATCCAGCAGAGGGGCTCCAGAAAGGACGAGGAAATGAATGTATCCTGGCAGCCAAAAGTCAGCCACCAAGGAAAGGGAAGCAAGATGGAGGCTCCTTGATCCAAAGTACAGAGGAACAGAGGGTTCCAAACTAAACTGTGGTTTGTGTGGAAAAAGAAAAGGATTACAGATTTCAAAACATTTTGGCCATGTTCGCTACTCAGTGTATGTGGTGTGGTTAGAAACCACCATTACATCTCCAAGACTTGGAGGTTAGCAGATACCAAGAAGACTGTTCAAAGCAAGGGTCTGTTAAATAAGTATTTATGTAGAGCCCAATATGTGCCCAGCATTACCCCGAGTCATTTTTATGAGTATTAATTTATTTAATCCTCATAGCAGTTCTGGGAGACTGGTGTCTTTAAGTATCCTGCCTCAGCCAGATAAAGAAACCAGATGCAGGGTTTAAGCAGTGTGCCCTAAGTCATTTCCCTGTTGGTGGTTGGCCAAGGTCTCAAGAATGTACATACTTGATGTCACCGTCTATAGTAAGAAGTTTTGATTTGTTTGGAGAGTGTGTGTATGTGTGCATGTGCGTGCATGTGTCAGGTTTCTGTGTGTATGTGCACATGTGTGCAGATCTGTGTGTGTGTGAGAGTGTGCATGTGTCAGGTTTCTGTGTGTGTGTGTGTGTGCACATGTGTGCAGAGCTCTGTGTGTGTGTGAACACACATGTGTCATGTTTCTATGTGTGTCTCTGTGTGAGCATGCATGTGTTAGGTTTCTGTGTGTGTGTGTATGTGTACATATCTCTGTGTGGTTGTGTGTGTGTGTGTGCATGTGTGCAGGTTTTGGTGTGTGTGAACAAGAATGTGTGCAGGGGTGTGTGTGTGTCTAAGTCAGAGGCTAACTTCAGATATTTTTCCTCAGACACTGTTTTGTTTTATGTGACAGTCCCTCAGTGGCCTGGTGCTCACCAAGGAGGCTAAGCATCTGACCAGCAGGCCTTAGGAATCCGCCTGTTTCTGTCTCCTGAGGACTAGGATTACAGGTGAACACAACCGTGCCCTGCTTTTAAATATATATTCTTTGGCCCAGACTCAGATGCACAAGCTTGCAAGGAAGCTTTACCAACAAAACAAACTCCCAAGATCTACTCAGGTTTCTTTGTTTGCTGGTATCTTTTCTGACCAGCCCTCTCCTTTGACCACCTCACTCTCCCTGTAGCTCATTGCCAGTACAAAGAAGGACAGGCCTGCATTTATTATTACTTCCCCTGGCACCACACAGGCTCTTGACACTTCTGGTAAAGACTGAAGAGTAGCATGAGGAGGTATGTCATTGAGGTGAGCTTGTCTCATGCTCTGTTTGTAAGGCTAATTATTTGTTTGGCCATGAGTCCTGTGGAATTACCTGTCTGTTTGCAAGAACACCTTCTCTCTCGGCACTTTGTCACATTGTCTCTATCACACAGGAAAAGGTAGGAAGGGCTTCTCTCTCCCAGGGGTCGAGGAGGGTCTACAGTTGTCATCATCACAGGCTTCACTGTCGTGTGTGAGTTTGATGACAATTAGGGAAGAGTTTACAATAAAGGACTTGTGTGGTTTCAGCAAGTATGGGGTTGGGTGAGAGAAAAACCAGAATAAACAGTGAAATTGTTAAGAAGGATAGGAGAAGTCATGGGATTCCAGTGTAACAAGCTGGGGAATTGGTTAGTGACAAGAGGACCGTTGGGTTGGGTGCTGAGGATCTGGGGAGGTTTCCCTGGTGGTGAGACAGAGGGATTTGGTGGAAGACAGGAAGTTAGGGAGAGGGAAATGAAACTGAAGAGTAGGTGGTAATGTTTTAAGATTTCTAGCTTGTAATTTCTTTAATGGCAGATCTTTTGAAAAATTTCTATAGAGTGATCTGAGGCACTCTATTTCATCTTTTGAGGGTGGCAAATGTCCTCATCTGATGTTGAATTGACAGTCTTTAAGTTCTTTCCAAGATGTAAGTAGCCAAAGAAAAAGGGAAAGGAAGAGGTATGTGTATCTGTGAGTGTTTATATGTGTGTGGTGTGTGATCATGTGTTTGTGTGTGTCTGTGTGTGGTGTGTGTATTTGTGTATGTGTGTGGTTTGTGTGTGGTGTGTGTATGTGTGTGTGTGATATGTGGTGTATATGTGTATGAGTGGTGTGTGTGTGGTGTGTGCATTTGTATATGTGCATGTGTGTGTGGTATGTGGTGTATATGTATGAGTGTATATGTATGAGTGTGTATGTGTTTGTGTCTGTGTTTGTTACAGAGAGAAATACAGAAACAGTGAAAGGATGAGTGAATGAGATTCCTATAGAGCAATAGCCAACACAGAATTGTGGATTAACTGTGCGTAATATAGAACCTTTTCCATGAGAGCATCTCACGACATCCCAGAGAGGAAGCTCCCAGACGGTATTCTTGTAAGACTTCAGTTGTCTAGCACAAATGTCTCCCAAATGATGGGTATTAGAAAAACCATCAGTTATGCAGTCTACAGTCATAGTCACCGCTTCTCAGAATGTGGAGATTGGACACTTAAAACTGGTGTCTCTAATAGTTGTGTGATTTAGATACTTAAATGAAAAAAAATGTTAAACCTTCTTAAGTAAGGGGTACTCATAGAGGGTTAAGTCCCAAAGTTTCTTAGAAATGTTTTTTTGAAATATTAGAAAGTCAGTTCATAAATATTCATAAACAGTTCTAAGAGGCAAGCGGTGTGGTGTGTGTGTGTGGTGTGTATGTGTGTATGTGTGTGAAGTGTGTGGTGTACATATGTATAGGGGTGTGTGTGTGTGTGTGTGTGTGTGTGTGTGTGTGTATGAATGAATTCATGAGCCTTGTCTCACTTCCAGAGAGGAAAGCGAAGAGGAAGAGGAGGAGGTCTTAGAAAGTCTGGGGTATACTCTGGAAGGAAAGGAAGAATTTATGTGTGTGTGAGAAGACATCTTAAGTATGAGAAACAGCAGGATCAAAAGTGACAGCAGAGGGCTGGAGAGGTGCTCAGTGGCTCAGAGCACTTGTTCTTGCAGAGGACCAAGGTTCGATTCCCACTACCCACATCGTGGCTCACGGCTCACCCCAGTTCAGGGGATCAGATACCCTCTTCTGAGCTCTACACTCAACAGACACAAACATGGTGTGCATAAATGCATGCAGGCCAAATAGCCGGTGCACATAAAACCGGATAAATAAATCCCTATCCCACTGGAGCAACTGTCCACCAGTGAGGTGATGGTGGTGCTGTGAATACTGGATTATCGTGATTGGAAAATCAGGTCATAGTTCATAATTCATAGTTCAGCAGCCCTGAGGCTGGGATGTAGTGTGTGGATCTCTGTCCACGGAGGAAGTTGCTTACTGGTCCTCAGTAAGAGGGCCTGGGAGACATGATCCCTTCTTCCAAAGAGCACCAAGCCCCTGCTTAAGGTGTAGTTTTAAAATCCTACTTGTCAACAACCTAATCAGCTGCAATAACCAACGTACACACAAAACTGTATTTATTGTCAAACAACATACCACGTGATCTATGGGCACAGGGACCAGAAGCCAGCTGGAATTTCTTCTATGTTGCAATATCTTACAAAACAAAACAAAACAAAAGGTAAAAGGCTTTGTGAACCTGTGCTTTTAAAGTCTTCCAGGAGACTTCCTGTTCTGGAGAGTGATTCAGTGTGTGGGTTGTAATCCACTTACCTACTCCAAGATAGCATATACCAAATTTAATAGTACCAAACCCTATAGATACTGATGATAAAGTTTCATATATAAATTAGATTAACAACAGGAACTGTTCAGAGCTCCTCAGCTTCAAC